CCCCCCTCCCCCAACAAACAAAAAACAGGCAATCAATATTTGCGCCCGCATAGACTACACAAGGACACTGCCCGTAGATTTCAAGAGTCAAGACTATTATATTATATATTTAAAAAAAAAACAAAAAAAAAAACGTATAACGTCAAACAGAACTTCCCGGTGAGCCGTTGGCAAGAAGGGAGAAGAGGGGGCTGTGACAGACTGTTCGTCGGAGTTTCACCTACCTACTCGTCAGGACACGAGGCTGAACTCTGTCTGCAGAGTCCCCTAACCAATGGTTGACACTGAAAGTGTCAATCCACCTTCATGTTTTTTTTTGTTTTTTTTTTTGTTTTACACCCTTATGTTTCAATATTTATACCCAAAAAAACAACAACAAAAAAAAAACATTTTCGGCCTTTTGTTTTTATTTTTTTATCTCAAATGTATCTGACCCCATTCATGGCCATACCCGGATGAATCTGGCCGCAATTCCATCCAGAAAGACGTAAAAAAGTTCTCGTGTGAGTATGCCCTGAGTCATGTTCCTTCTTCGTTACGACATTCCTCTTACAAATGTCCTCACAACTACAGTCTTCACCCGAATAAAACGCACGGTCATCATAGCTGCATTTGGACGCACTTTCAGTCTACATACCAGCGATAATGACCATGCGTTCTATTCCAGTGGGCCGGTAGCTCCTCCTCCTCCTCCTCCTCCTCCTATTCTACCCGAATAGAACGCACGGTCATCATAGCTGCATTTAGGCCATTATCACTGTCAGAACATATGACGAGATCTACTCATTGAGAAGTCACTCAAGAAGCTCCCTGTTAGAGCATATGACGCCAAATACATAAGCCCCCACATATATCGCTGGTATGTAGACTGAAAGTGCGTCCAAATGAAGCTCTTCTGTCAGAGCATATGACATGATAAGTCCCTAGAACCAGTACATAAGCATTTCGCTGATCATCGCGATCATCAGCATGACCAAGTACAACTTCAACACCAGCATCATCATCATAATTTTTTTATTTTTATTTTTTAATCGTTATTTTGATTATTACTCTGTTTGTGCTTCTGTTGCTGCTGCTGCTGCTACCCTTTGGCTTCTGCTTCTTCCTCTGCTGCTGCGGCTGTGGCTGGTTCCACTTCTGCGTCTGCTTCTGCTCCTGCTGCTCCTTTTTCGTCCCTTCTTCTTCTTCTTCTTCTTCTTTCGCTGGCGCTTCGTCTAACTCTTCTTCTTCTGCTGCTGCTGCTTTCTCGGCCGCTTCTTCTTCTTTCGCGGCCGCTTCTTCTTTCGCGGCCGCTTCTTCTTCTTCTTCTTCTTTCAATGGGGCTGCTTCTATGTTTAGAATCGCATAGCGATGGCACCAACGCTCCCGGTTGTAGGCCTGGCAGAGCGTCTGCCTGTCTATCCAGTCCCCACGTTCTACCATGGGGAACACGCCCCCTATCAGCAGCAGAGGGTTGGCACATCCAACCCCCACATAGTGATCGTGCAAGCAACCAACCACCGCCACCAGAGGAAGGAATAAGCAACAACAAGACAGAACAAACACCGGGAGATAACTCTCTCTCTCTCTCTCTCTCTCTCTCTCTCTCTCTCTCTCTCTCTCTCNTCTCTCTCTCTCTCTCTCTCTCTCTCTCTCTCTCTCTCTCTCTCTCTCTCTCTCTCTCTCTCTCTCTCTCTCTTTTCCACATCCTCCACCTCCCTGTACACACAAGAGGTGAGTGTCGCCATCGGCTAACATGATAGATAGGCTAATTACAAAAAGAAAAGTCAGAATCCGGACGGGAAAGTGCACCAAATACGGCATCGCCTAACATCAGGCCCACCACTACCCCCAGCTATCCCCGAGGAAGGGATGAAGGAGGAGAGAGAGAAGAGGAGGAAGAGGAAGAGGAAAAGGAAGAGGAAGAGGAAGAGGAAGAGAGAGGTAGTCTTAAGGGAGGAGGCGGATCCAAAGGGGAAGAAGAACAGGTCAACCGATAAAGTGCTATTGGGTCTCGCTGCACTCCTCACTAAATGTGAAAAATGTGGATGTATCTACGGCTAGAACATGGACAGATACACCCGCCATAGTTTTTTTGTCTTTCCGCATTTGGTGCATATACTTTCTTCTATTCTTTTTTTTTTTTTCAAATGTTTTTTTTTCTTTTTTTGTTAAGAGTAGTCGATACGTCGTCTACTACTACCACGGCGGAAGATAACACCAACCCCTTCTCCCATTCGACCACTCGTTTGACCACGTTCTTCCCGCTGTCCTGCCTCCTCCTCCTCCTCGTCGTCCTCATCATCATCATTCTTCTCTTTGCTTTCAACGAACAACGCCCGTTCTACCCGTCCTTTAGCTAGACAAGGGATCAGACCACGTTCACCTACGGTCTGCACCCGAATAGAACGCCCGGTCATTGTAGCCATATCTGGGCCAACATTCAGGCGAGATACAGGGATAATGGCCGGGCGATCTATTGGGGTGAAGACGGTAGCCAGAATTCGTTCTCCCAATCAAAAAACAAAAAATGTAGTACTCAAGTCTTGCAAGATTTGAAATGCCAACTCTCTCTCTCTCTCTCTCTCTCTCTCTCTCTCTCTCTCTCTCTCTCTCGCGGAAGACTACCCGGTCATTGTAGTCGTATTTGGAGAGAGAGAGAGAGAGAGAGAGAGAGAGAGAGAGCCGTCGGTCATGCCTTCTTAGCATCGTCTCTTTCCTCTCCTCTTTCCGTCTTCACCCGAATAGAACGCCCGGTCATTATAGCTGTATCTGGACGGGAAAGTGCACCAAATACGGCTCGCAGGGTCATTACAGCCGTATCTGGTGCACTTTCCAGTCCAGATACAGCTACAATGGCCGGGCGTTCTATTCGGGTGAAGACGGTAAGCGGAGAGAGGAAGAGACAATGCTAACAAGCCATGACCGACGTCTCTCTCTCTCTCTCTCTCTCTCGGAAGACTAGGAAGAGGAGAGAGGAAGGAGACGATGCTAGCAAGGCATGACCGACGGCGATACGAGAAGAACGACAAGGAGCAGGCGAGATCCCGACATACTTACCCGCCGCAGAGACACAGGAGAAGACTGGCCGTCTATGGCAGAGCGCCAGCCTGGTGACGTGCGACAAAGGGCGACACGTTGCGACACTAGGGTGCGCGACAGATGGCGACGGAAGGAAGGTGTCGCACGTGGTAGTAATCCGCAGCGAGCTGATGACCAGACACAGCTTTTTTTGGGGACGCGCTTCGCCTCCTCGCTCCACGAAGGACAACCCACAACCGATCTTTCCCCCCAAAAAAGATCTACCTCCTCTCTCTGACAACAATCTTTCCTCTTCTCACCGGCTATCGACTGATCGCGATCCCGATGGAAACAGCAATCACCATCTCTTGGGGGGGGGAACCTCCACCCCTCCTCCTCCTCCCTTCCTCCTCCCCTCCTCCTCCTCTCCTCCCCTTCCTCTTCCCCTCCCCCTCCCACCAGACCTCCTTCCTTCCTCCTTTACTCCCCTCCTCCTTCTCCCTCCTCCTCCTCTTCCTCCTCACAAACCAATAAGGATCGGTAGCATTACGCCCTTTGCGTCTCGCTCCACTACTCACCAAATGTGCAAATGCGAATGAATCTTCCGCTAGAACATCGAAAGATGCATCTCCATCTTTTTTGGTTTTTGTCCATGTGGTGAGTAGGAGAGCGAGGGCCCTTTTTCCCCCTCCTGCTGCTGCCAAGCCTCATGAGGACAATAGCAGTAGTATTACTCCCTTTACCGCCCAGGGGCAAGGTCCCACTTGCACGGATTGAGAGATTCTGGCCGTTGATCTTTGCTATCTACGGTCAATATCGCTTAACTCAATTCGTGTAAGTGGGACCTTGCCCCAGCTGAGAGCCGGGGCCCGCGCAAGTTCGAGCTCCGCCGGCGTTCCACAGACAACAGCAGAGAAGTATGCCTTTCGCGCGGCAACTGCGCGCGCAAGGCGTCGCTACCCCGCGGGCCCGGCGCCCGAGCCCCGCGCCCCGCTCCCCGCCAAGAGTGTTTTAAAAAGAAAGGAAAACACGAAAAACAAAAACAAAAAGGGAAAAGGAACACACAAAAGACAAAAAACAAAAACAAAAACAAAAACAAAGTTATAAGAAACCGCCAGACGAAGACGGCTCTCACAAGACCCCGCCCTTTTTTTCAAACGAAAGCGTCCAAAAACAAACGAGTGCGATGGTTACTATTTATAGCAAAAGGATGAACTTGGCCATCGCATACGGGAAGATGCACTCGTTTCGTTTTTCGTTTCGTCAGCCGAGAGGCGCCTCCCCGAAATACCTCACCTCTCTTTCGAAAGGGAGCGCGGGGGCCAAGTCCCACTATCAGCGTTAAGCTACCTCAACGCCTGAATCAGGAAACTCAACACCATTTCTGCACATCTCCGCAAAACCGTCCACATTCAGACGTTGAGGTAGCTCCACGCTGCTAGTGGAACTTGGCCCCGGGGACGAAAGGCACGTAGGGCGCCCCGCCCTACGAACGCACTGCCGCACAAGCACTGGGGGCAAGTCCCACTAGCAGAGTTGAGCTACCTCAACACCTGAATCTGGACGCTTTTGCGGAGATGTGCAGAAATGGTGTTGAGGGTTTCCTGAACTGCACGTCTCCACAAACACGTCCAGATTCAGGCGTTCAGGTAGCTCAACGCTGCTGGTAGTGGGACTTGGCCCCCGGGGGCAATTCCGCCGTGAGCGCGCAAAGGGGCCAAAAAGGTTCCCCAGTCTGCGGGGGCCCGGCGCACGGCGGCGGAAAAGGAACACGTCGGCGCACCCGGACCCGCAACAAGTCAGCACGGGTGGTGGCGCTGGCGATCTTTTTTTTCTTTTTTTTTTAAGTGGTGGCGATCTTTTGACGTCATGGTCTGTTTTACGGTTTTTTTGTAAGTTGTTTTACTTATATTTACATTAATTTATTTATTTATATTATTTTTATATTATATCCATCGGCGCGCGCATTCGTTACCACCTTCCTAAGGGGTCGCTCCGCTACACAACACTACCCAACAGTCTGCATGCACCTCGACCGCATTCTGGACCGCATACATTCGATTCATATCATCATTGGGGCGCGCATTTGGGGCTCCCCGCACCCCTGTCGACAGCCCCTTCGACAGTTCCTCCCCCCCCCAGCTCGACTGCATTCTGGACCGCATACGTTCTATTCATATCATTGGGGCGTGCATTTGGGGCTCGCCGCACCCCTGTCGACAGATCCTCCCCCCCCCCCCCCCCCCCCC